CATATAGTGTCCCCCCCTTACTCCAAGTTTCTGGGATACTAGTAGGTAGTAGCACCAGGCTGCAGAGGGCAAAAAAGTGCTAGGGAAGCTGGGTTGCCCCTTCCTGTCAGCAATGTGTTCTGGACTCACCAGCCCAAGGGAAATTAGCTTCCCTGGCCATCACCATTTCCCAGTGCCCAAAGAAGCCAATGTCCAGGCTTGAGCGGTACTGCTGGAAGGAGGCTTCTGTATAGAAGTGGAAGGGTACCTGCCACCTCTACCCAGGGCTGTGGGATGGGAGGGGTTGGCATGCTGGTTCCCAGGAAGCACTTTGTGAACCTATAGCTGCACTCCTGGCCCCTCCAAACCGGTCTTTCACTGTGTCAAGATTGGAATCCTCCACAAGCATGAGGGCAGCAAGGGGCCGAAGACAGTCATGCATCCCAGGGTCAACTTTTCCTCTAACTTGGCCACCAACCTGCAAGTTGCGACAGGCCTGGGTCATCAGTTCCATTCATACTAAACTCAAGTCTAGCGAGAAAGCAACTGCAAAATCATCCTTTCAAGAAATCACCTACAAATCTTGCCACCCTTTGATAAAGATCTTCAGTTTGCTTTGTGGTCACCACTGGCTGTTTCCTTTAAGGGTGAACTGAAGAGAGCCAGCAATGATTACTGAGGGAGACGATGCTTGGGCAGCCTTACTGGGAACAGTGGCTGGGGCTCCGATGGTGTTAAGAAAATGGAAAAGGCCACCTTTGCCTCCTCTCTGCCTGCTGTTAGCCTAACTACAAAAGTCTCTCTTTATACAGCTTACAGATTCTAATATATATATTTGTATTTCATTTTGTTATAGTATTTTTATATGTTAAAGTCAACATTCAGTGTCTTGATTTTCAGATGCTTATGTGGTTGTGAACTTGTGTGTCAGGTTTCTGTGGTCTTGTTTGGAATGACTTAGTGACTGGCTTAAAACAGCCCATGAGGGAGCCGCATCTGCCCTTCCCTTGAAGTATTGTTTTAGTATGTGTTGATATCATCTGTTGTTCTCCATGTGAACATGACATTGACTCACTTGGATTCTGCCTGGTTGTCTTTCTCCGCCGAGGTAAATCTGCTACTGCCAGTATTCACCCTCCGGGAACAAGGACTTCTAGGACCCACAATGGCTATACTCCTCACATGGAGGGTGTCTGCCCTGGAACTCTGCTCTTCCTGAAGTAGCAAAGGTGGTTTATCAGTTTTGAAGAAAGGGATCTGGGGGCCACAGTTCCTCAAGGGTCTGTTGATGGAACAGGAAAAAGGGCACAGCATGCTTGGTCTGGGGAGGCAGATTATCTTCATCTGTGCCAAGTGTTTGCTGTTACACTGACATTTTATGTGTGTCTGTAAGCCACACACACATTTAACCTGGCTTTGAGGGATTCAGAACATCTGGGAAACAGACTAGAAAGCAGTGTGTCTTCTCAGATATCCTGTAAGGTTACCTACTGCCTGTCTCTAGGCCAGTGGTTTTTAGGGATCAGTAGAGAAAGGAGGCAAACACTTCTTTAGGGGTTTTATCACCTCTCAGACCAGAAAATTGTGCTCAAGATTTTGCAGGATCCTAGATCTGAGTGTGTGGGTGACCTGGACCGTAGCAGAAGAGTGGCAGGTCCTTGATGGTAAAGGGACCAGGTTGACTCTCCTCGGATTCCAGGACCATGGCAGATTCCCCATAAGCCATGTCAATGGTCACAATAGCCACAACAGCACATGGCCACCTTGAAAATGCAGTGATAGTAAATCCAGTGCCTTCAAAACAATTAGGGATTTTTGGAGGAAAAAAGGAGTGTGCAAGAAACAGTGAAGTTTAGTAGGGGTGTAGGTTCAAGTGACTGGGGTGGCCAAGTGGTTACTTTAGATCAAATGGGTAATATCCTCATGGTCCATTATTTCTTTGCTACTTCTGATAAGACACCAAGTATAGAGTGACAAATGGCAACTGACACAGATAGGAACTGACCTAAACAACATTTGCCAATCTACTGAGCCCCAAGGTGATTCATACCATGAACTAATTTTGTCAGATCACAATCATTTTTTTAAAAAGAGAAGCCAAAAATCTCTTTATACTATAAAGCTTACACTATGTGTGTATAAGTTCAGCTAAACAAAATACTTCTGTGGACCAACAGTTTTGCAGTCTCTCAGTAAAAGACAACTTAGGAGTGTCCTAATGGGCAGTGGATTATCTTCTCTGGATTTAGTTTTGCATAAGGATGGCCACTGGGTCACTAGCCCACTGGGTCCCTAGGTTGACCCACCCCAAGCAGAACTGAAGGAATATGATGAACAAAAAGGCAAGCAAAGGGAAGGACCTTCTGTCCACTTTCTGCCATACCCCACAGGGACCACAGAGACTGGGGTAGCCCTAGCTGGGGCACCTGTGGTGAGCTTGGACTCTTGCTCCCTACCCTCAGGATGAAACACTGGCATCTTTCCAACACTGCAAGGGTAAGCCCAACTATTTATCCATTTCATTTTTTCCCCTCAAAATTAGGCAAAACTCAGAATGCTTTTTTTTTTTGGAGACAGGGTCTTACTATGTAGTTGAGACTGACCTGGAACTCACTATGTAGCCCAGGCTGGTCTCGAACTCGCAGCGATCCTCCTGACTTAGCCTCCCGAGTGCTGGGATTACAGGCATGCACCACCACATCCGGCTACAGAATGATTTCTGATTTAGAGCAGAACATAATATTTCAAGCCCCAATACCATGGTTGAGGAGTACTATTTTGGGTTCCTTCTGGCTACTTGCCAACTTGGCAGTAGGCTACAAGTCAAATGCCCAACTTCATTGCATTCTGTACCCTCCAGTGATAACACAAACACATTATAATATCAAAGAAATTTAATATGCTGCAACAAAATAAGCGCCTTGAAAAAGCTCATGGAATAGATGTCAGTGTTAGAGAAATCCCTCCTACACATTCTCTAGCTCCATACCCCATCCCTCAAAACCAAACAAAATTTGAAACAACACAGGAAATCCTTCCAACCTTGGATTTTAGTGGGGGCCCCTTTACCAATAATAAGAACACAGTTTCCTACATTGTATAACAGGAAAGTAAAACACGGACACACAAAAAGTCTACAAGAATTCGAGATTTAAGAGACTTGGTACATATTCAAAGTTAAAATAACTCCAACTTTTATAACTATACATATTGTTTTAAAGCAACTTAATATATTTTTAAATTTCATATATACACTCTCAAAGGTTTTTCAGGTGAGGTATGTAAACATTGTCTAATGAAAAATTTTCATTGTTTCAAACCAACAAATTCACAGCATACATTGAATTTTCATCCATTAAAGACACAGTATTTTCCTAGACTAACAGTGGAAATCCAGGCCCAAGAGATGCACGCTTTCTCCAGGTTACCATTTGCAGAATTTCTAATGTCATTTTTTTTTTTTTTAGAAATACAGCCTTCAGACTACAAGCACACACCTGGTACCAGGAAAGGGCTATGTCCTCTGGAAGCCCTGTCCTTGGGCATCTGGAACACTGGCTAAGACTTACAAGACAGCAAAAGAGTACATCTTAACAACTACAGATTGACCTCGGCAATGACAACACTGGGAGGAACCAGAAAGATCTTTAAAGGAACGTAGAGATTCATTTTAGAGCTCCCTGAATCCACAGCTAGATCAGCAGCCCCTCCCCTAAACTTATTCTGAACGGTCTTGGCCTAAAAACAATAAAAACCCAACATGGCACCTGAGCTTCAGTTAAATTGCATGGGCTTCCAATGACCTCCTGGCTCCTTAAAAGCATTGACTAGCCTCAATTAGGACCCTGGGCTGTGCTTTTAATACAGGTTGGGGTTGAATTTCATAATATAATGCACATGAGAAAATAACGCCATGAGTTCACAAAACTGCCAATACACACAGGCATTGGCCAAAGACCTTGGAGGAGCTCAATTCTGAAAACTACTTGTTCCCTGAGGGTAAACAGCAGGCTTCTATTGAGACTGAGGCTAAGAAGGGGATTTTTATTACAAAGTATTAAAGACTTGGAGAGCATCAGGCCAGAGTTCTATTTTACCTCCACAAAATCTACAATCCCCCCACCCCCCGACAAGTAGTCACCTCCCCAACCATACAATATAGGTCAATTTCTTTCCTCTTTGCTTGCTATCTGGCTCAGCAATGGAAAGTTTTATCCTAATGCACCCACTTCAACCTATAAAAACAAAACAAAACTACTGAAAAATTCCAAACACCATCATAAATACAAAAGAGAAGACATTCCAAAAGCCTAAAAAACTACATTACTTTTATTAATGGTTATCTGAGTGTGGGGTATTTCTTTCTCACAAAGTTAAGGACAGTCACAAGGAGAGGCTGCTAAACAGCTTTAGGAACCTGTTGAGCTGGACACGCTGGAGGAGATGGAGAGACTGCCTCTTCACACTGACCTAAAGGGCTGAACCCAAAGGGGCTGCAGAGGTGTTAAGCCCAGGGCTGGGAGGCTTGTCGGAAACAAGCTAGCTTCTAAAGGTGGATCAGACATAGCCAAAGTCTTTAAATTATCCACTTCATTTCACCTGTGAAAAGTTCTTGCATTTACTCTATAGCCAAATTAGATTTGCCTTAACTAGATTCTAGACTATATGGAAAATTGCTTTTTGATTTATGTGACCACTTTTGACATGTTTGGTGTAGGCAGATTTCTCATCTATCACTGGAGTTTTGTGACATGAGGGAGCGTGCAGACAGAAGCAAAAATTCAAGTACAGCAACCTCTCCAGCAAAGGCAAGAGGGTACCACAAGAGCTGTTTTACCCTCACCCAATCCTCTGAGACAAGGGCAACCTGGACCCCAAAATAAGTCATCACCTAGGGTCTTATTGCTTAAGGGCAACACATCAGAAAGAACACCTGGAAATCTGCTCTGCAGATCTGGGCACTGACCACCAACCATTATATATATATATATAATATATATATATATGTATTATAACCAGATGAGAAGAGGGGCAGTTAAAGCTAAAGCTTGGCTATGATGTTACATTACAGATCAAAGGCCCCAAACAGCTCTCAACCTGCTGGCTTTTATTCTTTCTCCATGTGTGAACTATGTTATGAAAGGAAGTTCACTGCTTAAAATATATTCTTCTACAATACTACAATGCAAACCAACATCATTCAGAACATGAATCCGTATACAGCACAAGTAATAAATATTTTTAGAAAACTATGTACAATACTTCCTGTGAACATTTAGATGAGAGCAAAATCTATTTCTTTCTGCAAAGGTTAAAAAAGTTTTTACTGTCTAGTTCAGTGCTAAATTTCCCTGGCACCTAGTTACCATTCACATTTATCTTAAAATCAGATTTGCTTACAAATAGTATCTTAGAAAAACATCCTCCAGCATCACTGTTCAAGCATCCTCATTTGTTTAGAAAACATATAGGGATGCCACAAGGAAATATAAATTATGGTTCAAACAGATGACCATCCCTGTGGAACTAGTTCCAAAGCTCCCAGCATCTTGGACCTGTAGTTCTCAGTTCAGCCAGCTAGGCAGAAAGAGAATCACGATGCAGGAAGGGTGCCCAGGAACAGAGCACAGGGAATGGGACATTATCAAAAAGCACTGGCTCCATTACTAGTAGGGTGCAGATTGGGACTCCTGAGAAGTAAAGCTGAACACATCTTAGAACAGATGGTCTCATTCTGTCACCATCAGTTACAGCTGCAACTGGCCCACATCTGCACAAATGCTTGCTGAGACAGGGAAAGGGAGGAGGAAGATGAGAGCCAAGGTAGCCACAAGTATTGTCAAAGTGCAGAAGGTGGTGTACTTATCTCCCATGATGGTGTGAAGAGGTAACGATCATAAACCCAGGAGAATGAGACTAGAAGCACACACTTCAATGCTGTCCTCAGACAACTAATAGCTTCGCCTTATCCCACAGGTAGAGGTTTGGATTTCCTTACGGGCTACAACTAAGGCTCCTGCACAGGCTGTGGATATGAGCAGTTGAAACTTGTCAATGGTATATGCAAGAAACCCACTTTGTTCTGGGATGGGATGACAGTGGGGAGAAGAGCTCAGATTTCAAATTCATATTGTATCTGTCCAAATACAGTGAGGGCTTCAAGGCTACACCCTTCTGTCTTCACTGTGTTAAGGGTTCAATGGCTGAGCACAGTGGTTAAGGAGGATGGATGGCAAGAACAAATTTTGGAAAGCCCTTTTGACAGTTTTTTTTGTTGTTGTTGTTAAAATAAATACTTTGTATAGAAGCATTTGAACAGGAAAATATCACTATTTACACACTGAAACAAATTCCACAGTGGTGTGTATAAATATGCATTATATATATATATATATTTGAAACCAGTTACTAATAGTCTTCTAGAGCTAGTTAGAATGCAGAAACCACTAGTGAAATCAATAAACTTAAGTTACAGTGGCTCTCAAAATAATGCCTACCTGTGGTACAAATATACAAAATTAGGGAATTTTGTTTGTATAGTATCTTTCCCACAAACTAGCTCCCAAATACTGCAGCATTAGCTGCAAGACAACATGCAGTGTAGAGCACAGCAGACAACTGGGATAGAAAAAAAGTTAACTGAATGGTATTTGGATCCAACATCAAATACTAAAATAGTTAGGAAGAGAACAATGCTACTCCTGTGTGTTCAGTGAAGCACTTGGGAGGGGGAAGAATATCCCAGAGAAGATGTCACCTGGGTGGGTTAGTGACTTAAGCAGAAGAGGGAGATGGACAAGGTCCCAAGGATGGCTCTCCCATGAGGCAGTGATTCTGGTATGACCAGAGGTGGGCTTCAACGGCCAGGTCAAAGAGCCCTGAACTTTTTCCAGTCTAAAGCTGCTGGTGTGTCAACAAGGTGCCAACAACATGCTGGTATTTAAAGAATGTGTGATCTGGACTCAAGGTTAAAGCAAAGACCAGTCATTTAAGTTCACAAGTAATGACCAAGGCTTGGAGAGTGATAAACTTGCAAATATCCTAGATACAAGAGACATGGAAGGCTCTAGGGGCAAAACCAACAGACCCTGTACTTTCAGGGAGAGGCACTATTCTAAGCTGTAAGTAGACTGTAAGCACTGCCATAGTGGAATGTCTCTACCAAAATCAAGTTCACTGTGATTCGTAAAATGAACATATCATAAAAATGAATCACAATGAAACTTTAGAAGACTTTGTACTCTTAGTTTTAATTATATACCCTAGTAGACTATACACCCATAATTTATCAATAAATATTCAATCAGCAAAGGGGGATATCTTTTACTCACACGAAAATCATTTAGGAATAATGTGCAACAGCAGCTGTGTACTGGGATGAAAAGATAAGATACCCTAAAATCTAAAAGAACTGTTGTAACACTGTGGTACATTAACAACAAAAAAACGTGTGCCTAATTTTCCACAGAATTTAATCTTGAATGACTATTGTAGGGATTCATAAAGTTGTGCTGTAAAACGTTAGGTAGTAAATTTTTTAGTGTGGGCCACATAAGTTAACAAAACCCTTAAAAAAAAAAAGATGAAATCTATTCATCCAACCTGATTATAATACCACAGGCACCTGGTTGTTTTCAAATGGGCAATCCATGTTTTTGTGTTTGCACAAGGAACACCTGTGTTGACTGGGACAGTCGCTCAGTAAGAAAGATTCAGTGTCTGTGCTCATCAGACTGACACGACTGCATCATTGCCCCTCTGAGGGAGGGAGCAAAGGATGTGTCCTCAGTGCTGAGGATAAGCCACCAAAGCACTGGGAAAAGGAAGACTGAACAGAGAGGTGGTTGTGAAAGGAAATGACCAGTTATGTTTCAATTTCAAGGGCAAAAGTATGAGCAAAAAACACCCTCTACAAAGAGTCCCAAGGTGGTTCTCCGGGGTCATGGGGAAGCATAGCAATGCAAAGCACTGAGCTGAGAGCAGTATTAAAGAGTGCTTTGGGTTTCTGTGAATATGACATCTACAGCAAAGAGGTCAGGCCCTCAAGGTTCCCAACCTAACCAGTGTAGAAGACAGGACTCTGTTCTGATGTTTCAAGGATTAAATTACGTTCAAGGCTATCTCAAAAGGCTTCCCCAAATTCTGCTTGCTTTAAATACAATATTTTATTTTTCTCTGAAAAGAATTTGGGAGCAAGCATGGGGAAGAGCACGTACTGCTTGGATATGAAGATTTCCTTGCTGGTGTGATATACATAAATGCAATTTCATACTTTATTAAACAATAATATGTCACAGAGTAACAGCTTAAAACTCAAATAATTGGGCTGGAGGGTGTAGCTTAATGGTAGAGTGATTGCATAACATGCATGAGGCCCTAGGTTTGATCCCCAGCACCACACACTTCTCCGCAAAATGTTTCAAAACAATTAAGCACAGCTTGGAAGTCACTGACAAAAATTTTTAAATGACATGACAACTCATTTGGGAAAATAGCATAGAAATGCATACATGAGTTTTTTGGGGGATGAAAACACCTTGGACGAAGTTGACTGGATTTGAACTACAGATATAATCCTTAGCTTCTCAGTCATACTCAGGCGACATTAACATTTTTAATTATTCTTTTCCAAAATACTTCAAATGCTTCAATTTTTTATTTGTTAGCTTACTTTTAATAAAATTATTATTGCAAAAGTGTGACTGAAAAGATATCAACTCCAATATATTTTTATTTTCCTAAAAGCTGACCAAAAACATAAGAACAAGCAATGTTTTGGGTACGTCAGACTTTCTTTTTACTCTGTGAAAAGCCTTTCCCCTCATCTAAATGTGATGTTTGGAGGACTAAAGGTCCAACTAAAGAACGTTCAAGTAATTTAACACAAACAAAGTCTTGGCTTATTTTAATAAATAAGAAGTGAAGCCAGAATCAGATGACTAAAACTCTGTGAGTGAAATGAGAGATCGGGGACACCTATTTTTAGAATTCTAAAATCCAATCTGGCCATGAGTTTAAAACTTGACCCTATGATCTGAGGTGGCCTCAATGTGGTCCTATGAAGAGTGAGTTAAACGAAGATGAAGTGTTAAGGCAGCTCAGGTTTAAAGAGATGGTAGTCCCTGCGCTCTATCAGTATGTGTGCAGTAAGAAACAAAGAAGTGCATAATAAACAATAAAACGAGGATAAGGAAGAAAGGAAGCAAAGAAGAGAAAAAGGGTAAGAGGCAAAAGAGAAATCAGGGGAATTTTTTTTCCTAAGCAAGCTATTATTTTCTGAAGCAGGGGTAAGCAAACTAATTCTTAAAAGATCTAGAGAACATTTTAGGCTTTGTGGCTCTCTGCTCTACCCCACAGACAATCAATAAGCAAACGGGCAAAGATATGTTCTGACAAAACTTTACACAAACTAACAACCAGTTCAAAGAATCCCATACCAGCTAACCTGAAAACAAAAAGGACAAGGTGGTGCCCTCTCTACTGGCCAGCCTCTGGGGGGGAATTCCAGCCCCATCCCAGGTGTTGTCACAGACATCAAACTGGATGGTGGTTAACACTAGAACATCTTCTGCTCGCATCACATACCATGCCATCCTTTCCTTCTGGGATCTTAGGTCCACTGATCAACAGAAATGCTGCCCATAAATGAGTTATAGCTTTTGCCCTCACTGCAGAATCTACTATAAAGTGGGAAGCAAACCTCAATCCAAAGGAACTGTCTTGGAGTGATGAATTTTACTGATGACATAGTTGAACAGTGAGAAATTCACCTGCACAGTATGTAGTGCACAGAAGATTCCTTGAGAAAGCAACATATGTAAAGGGATGACTAAAGCACCCCTTTCTCTCTGTACCATTACAGGAATAGAGGCACAAACTCACACTCAAAGATTACTGTTTTAGATAGGGCTATACAGAAGTTCTTAATAAAGAATCCCAGGGGCTAGCAAGTGCTGGTTAGCAGACATGAGTAAAGAAAGGTTTGTGGCCTTCTTGTTGTACTGCAGGACTGCCACTGTTTGAGGAAATGATGGAGTGAGGCTCTGGACCTCAACTGAAGGAGCAACCCCATTGCTAGAGAGCCTGATAAGATAGGAAATGTATCTCCCAAAAAGGGCCCAGCTTTGGAGAAGCTATGATACAACTCCACTGATGTCTTCCCAGATATCTTCTAGCTCCTCTAGAAACTCAGGGAATGTCAGATCTCTGGTCATCAACTTAAGCCCCACCACTGAGGCAGTCACTTCACTGAGTTATAGGCCTTGGAGCAGAATTCCTTTGTGATTCGGGATCCAGAACACGGGACAAACTGCCTTTACATCTGGTGGCATGCCATACTTGAAAATGGCCATAAGAAGGAGGTCTTTTCAAAGGAGAGGAAACTGGAGTTCATATCAAGTCTGGGCTTTGAGGTGTCTGAGAGACAGCATTTCCCGCCTATGCTGGAAAGAGGATCTTTCTGCAAGAGGACCTTCTGGAGTTGGCCTTCAAGTTTTATTTTTGTTTTCTTCTATTAGCAAAATTAACTGAATCAAGATGAGATTCAACCAAAAATTTTCTAAAGTTTTAAGTTTCCTAACTTTTTAGAATTTCTCTACTTAAATGTAGAAACTGCTGAAAAGTGTAAGTCCATTTTAAAGATGATCCATTGCAATAAGTGTATAAATATATACAAACTTCATTAAATGCAGCCTAGAATGAGAGAGATGGCTGTTATCTTGAAGTGAACTTCTAAAAATAAAAAAGAATTTAGAAAAGTAATGGAATGAATCATAAACTTGGAACTAGAAAAGTTCCACCATCTTACTATCTCACTCCTCTCCCTAACCTAATCCAAGCACCTTACAAGGTAGCCTATAAGCAGCCAAGGGAGCACCTCTTATGTACAGGAAACAGCACACCTGACATTGGCAAACATCAGCTCTTTAAGTCACCACAAAAACAGTATCCAGTGACAACTATATGAAAAGATAATTGTTTAAACCTTGAAATAAGATTTAAGATTAAATGAACTTACTCAAAACATATTAATGCTTCTGTGCAACTTAATGCTGAAAAAGGGCTGCCAACGCACACACTCAGCAGTTTCACTAATATAGGTAGCTCTTGAATGGCCCAAGTCAAAGATAATAAAAAGAAAAACAAGACTCATGGGATAGAAGAGACATTAAACACACATACACACATACACACACACAAAACAACAAAAACACAGGGCTTCATTAAAGATAGTAAACTTCACTGTCTGTGAAATACAACACAACTCTCAAATTTCTCATGAACCAAATGCTTTTCCCTAGTCCTATTCAATCAGAAGTTTCTATCACATACAGCAAACCTTTAATAGAATGGGGCAGGCAGCCTGTTTTTATCATGTTCTGCATGAAAAAATAAATCTGGATTTATCTAGAGATCCAAAACCTAAATGGAATTTTTTTTTTAAAAGAAGGACAAAGCAACAGCTGTACATACTAGCCTGTTATGGTGACAGAACAATGTTAAAGAAGCTGAGACTTTAACAACCAAGCCTTTTTTTTTTTTGAAGTGGCTCAACGGAAATGTCAAGTACACACCAGCTATAAGCACAGCAATGTCATAGGCACTGAGTAAAGCCAATGGGCCCATTTCAGGCTTTACCTAAAAAAGACAAACAACATCAATTACAAATATTGTAATTCTCACTTCTGGGCCATGGAATAGACCACATGGAGGAGATATGGGGAGGGTTAATACTATTAGCATTTAACCACTTAGGATGATACTAATCAATCTAAAAAGACATCCACTCCAGACAAATACATTCACTTGGTGCATTCCAGCTGAACCTCAGTTCTGTGTGTAGGGGAGAGGACCCAACTGTACTGCTGGGACAGCTTCCTCCAGCTGCCAGGGGCTCTGATTCTACATAACTGTGCTGTTCATACCTCTCAGAATCTGGTGCTAATGTGGTATTAGGATGCACATGGAGTCACTGGGCCACTTTTAAACAAGTTGGCCTGTACTATTCAGCTTCATAAACACCTTACATGGGGAAGAAACAATTTTCTGTAAAATTGGGATTGGGAGACATTTGCAGCTGATAACCCCATGCAAATGCATCCAAATGCACATGTACACCCATATTCTTAAAATTTCCTATTAATAGAAATAATATTTTGGCTTCTCTGAATAGGGAAGTACTCTGGGTAAGAAAAAATAGGAATAATCACTTTCATCTTAATCATCAAATTATAGCTACAAGATAAAAAAGATTTTTTCTAAAATAGGACAATACCTGTTAGAATGCTAGCAAGCTTGCAAGGCTTAATACAGACAATAAAGTTTGGGGATGCAAATAAGTTTTAGAGGTTGTAAACCAAAATGAGTATTTGTGACATACTTTTTGTCCCATGGGCATGAGATTTAGAGAACATATTCTCAAATGACAAAAGACCAAAAACAAAACAAAAAGGTGAGAATAGTGACCAACAATGAATATGATTTTTTAAAGAAGGTAACAGAAATATTAATCTTCTATAATTATATATCCTCTGCACTCTCCACATACCACAAAAATGATTTGGTTTAGCTTTCAAATACCACTTAAACAAAAAACAAACATAACAGAGAGGGAAATTGCTGCTGTGGTTTGCAGAGGGTGTCTTTTCAGGAGCAGATGCTGCAGGGTGGCTGCTGAAAGCTCCTTTCATGTGCATGACGGTGGTCTTCTTGGCTACAGTACAAGTGCTTGTGCATCAAGTATAAAATACAAGCCTTTAATCACATAGATCAGCTTTTTAGCTTTTGTAAATTTTAAAACAAAAAGGATAAATAAGGCACTGTACTTTTTAAAACAGAAACTGCTTGGTTCCAAGTTTAAAACCCAAGGAACAACCAGAATATAATATATAACTTCCCTTACTCAATCTCAGAGAAGGACTCTACAAGTTCTCTTCTCTACCTGAGACGCATTTTCTGACATCTCAAACTGTGGTGTTTTCTATTGTAATTTGAAAGGCTTGATAAGCTTATAAAAGCAGATTTAGTTAATGCAAAATAAAAGGTTACTTCTATAGAACAGTTTCACTCTTTGCTGCCATCCTTCCATCACTTTCCATCCAACCGTCTCCGTTTGCTATGGGAAGAGTCTAGCTTTGCCTTGAGCTTTCGCTTTCTCTGGGCCACACTGTTGCCTGGGCCTTTTGTCAAGGGTCTGGTACTAGTCTTCCCACGGCTTGGCTTCCTGCTCGTGGCTTTCTGGGGCCTGGAAGAAGATTCACCTGATCCTTTTTGCTTTGCAGGTTTCATCAGCGCTTCTGAGGTGGCAGGCTGGGCAGGTCTTTTGTTTGTATTCTCTTTTTCTTTCCTGGAGGGAGGGTAGCTCTTCCCAGAGGACTTTTTAGGAATCTTCACTTTATTCTCTTTCAAAGACATTTTTTTCGGCAGCTGGCTGACTCTGTCCTTTACAGATGACTTCTTGGCAGAAGAGGTTTTAGTGGGTCCATCAACGTGCTTTTCTTTGCCGGCTTTCACTGTCAGGGCCTTGTCTTTACAGTCCTGGGTGCTGCTGCCTTCTGTTCTCTTCCGTTTACTCTGAACTTCAGCTTTAACCAAGATTTCAGACGTCTGCTTTCCTTTCCTTCCCTTCATTCCTTCAGTACTCTTGGGCTTAACGGGAAACCCATCTGCACCCACCTGGAGGGCAAGCTTGGGGGACATCAGAGGGTTGATGCAAACACTTTTACGACTCTGCTTACTTTCCACTGCCACACCCATGGGGCTGTCCATTTTCTCATTCCTGATCAATCGTTGCTGGGCTCTGAGCTTTCCTCGAATATTGGAATATTTCCTGAGGATCCGTGTACTGGCTGGAGTAGGCAGGTTTGTGGGAGGATGGCTATTTCTATCTTCCTTGACTTCCTCTATACTGTCTTCAGAATCAGGACTGAGGCTGACATCACTGCTGTCCTCTGGGTCTAGTTCGTCAGGATTCTCTCTAAATTTAGCACAGAGTTTCTGCATTTTCCAATTATTCTTAGCAGGAGTAGCTCCAGGAAATTTCTTTAAGTGTTTTTTTAAACGTTCAGCCTGCAGTGAACTGGGATACAGGCTGGAAGGAGAGTATTTCTGAAGAGGATTCTTGACAGGGGGAATGTCCCCTGGAAGACGAGTATTGAGCTTCTTCACAATGACCAGAGACCGGGTTTCAGTTGTCTCTAAGAACCATTTGCAAACATTAGATAATTTAAAGTCTGTCATAAATAACATCTGAACAGGAGAAAACTTTTGAGCTTCTAACGAACCCCTGCATTTCCGTGACCTTTTCTTGCTTTTCCAAATCTCCTTCAGTTTATCTGACCTATTCCTTGCTCTTGGTGTTGGTTGTGCTTCTTTCTCCAACTGGATCCACCCCTTCTGAACTTTCATGTACTGGGCATTAAAGTTGTCAATGAGCTCCTGGTTCTCCTCCTCTGCACACCATTCCACAAACTTTGGCTGTTCATGCACCACTGTGTCCACATCCTCCTCATCTATGGGATCTGCACTCTCAGAAGCTTCATTTTCCTTTGGCATTGGGCTTATTGATGTGGCTTCCTTTTTTGAAGCAACTTTTGTAGTATCCAAGGAGTCCAGAGAGTAAGCATGTCTCAAGTTATAGGGTGAAGAGGTCATTCGTTTAGGTCTTGGTACCAATTTTGGTGGCCCAGGAGCATCACCACTTAGACTACCTGCCATCTCAGCTGAGCTGGATGGAGCCTGGTTAGCACCATCTTTATGTTGGCTGTCCTCACTGTCTACTTCATTTAAAACTGCCTCCACATCCTGTGTGGGAATGTGTCCTGGCCTCTCATTTGACTGCTCTGGGTCCCTCTTACAAAGAATGTGTTCTGAGGGCACATGAGCATTTTCCTCACTCATCTTAGACTGAACATAGATTTCCAGTCTCTCTTCAGGAAGTGGCTGGCCAACTGTGGTTACGGGATCCCTGCTAGGAGAGATCTCTCCTTGTTCCCTCTTGATTTCTTTTGACAGCATGCTTTTAAAAGTCTGCCTTGTAATGATGCCTCCTCCTCCTCCACCCTCCTGTTCAACCTCTTTTTCAGAGGGGCATTCATTGGCATTTGTGTTTTCAGTTTCTTCTAGAATGTCTGTACAAAAACTATCATTCGGAAAGCCCTCAGGTGTTGTCCCAGCAGGGTATTCTTCTTTTCTAGAATGCTTTGCTCCAGGATTTTTAGAAACTTTGATCTCAGGAAAAGCAGAAGAAGAATCTGAACCTTGATTTCTTAGATACCTATCAACAGAGGAAGAATATGAAAGCTGACTTCTTAAGCATCTATCAGAGGCCTCAGGGAACTTTTTACCTTTTTTCTTCTTGTCCAAGTTTTCTTCAGGTGAGTCAATGTCTGGATCACAGGTAATTTTTTCTGAAGAGGATTTTATAGTGCTTTCCCCCCCCTCTAGTGTTTCTGTACCACATGTTGCTTCACCTTCCTCAATCTTACTGGGGTTTTCATTATGAAAAGTGCTGCTTGCTTTCAGGAATGGTTCAGTATGTAGCTCTTGAGTATCTCCAGTCTCAACCTCAGTACTGAAGCTCTGCTTGTGCTTACCCTGTACCAGATTCAGGGGAGGCTCCCAGCCCACAGGAGGACTTTGATTTTCTGAGAACAGAGGCTTTTCTTCTCTACTGACTGTTTCAGGAGGAGACTCAGGCCTAGAAGGGACTTTTTCATTGCCTTCCCCAGAAATATTTTCAGTTGGAGGAACCAAGTGGCAGTCTTGGAGTATACTCATGACCTCCACATCTGGCAAGGCAACTTGTTGCTGGTCTTGTTCGGGAGACACCACACTAGCTGTGGAAGCTGAGATCACGGTTCTGCCTTCCAGCACATCCTCTTCAGGGAGGCAAGCAGGCAAAGAACATATCAGGCTAGGGGCTGTTGTCTCCCCCAGCCTAGGAGAGCTGCTGGGATTTGGTTCATTTATTATGGGGCAAACTTCTGGCTCTTGAGACTTTTCTGCAGATGAAGTGTCTCTGCCTCCCTCCTTGAAGGAAATTATTTCCTTAGAAGGTTCTTCAAGGTTATCTTCTCTGGGAAGCTGCACATCTACTGCATGCCTAGGGGCTGACATTGTTAGAGTCTGCTTGGGAGTCACATTAGTAACTTGTGATACTAATAAGGAGCAGCTTGCTTTATCCTGGGAGTGTATATTTCTGGCCAATGTGCGAACAGTTGGTAGTTCACAACAATCACCATTAAAAAAGTATCCTCGAGTACTCTTTCTGGCCGTTTTCCGAGAAGATAACATGGATCTTTGATTCTCAAAGTGGCATTCTGTTATTGGCTGACTGATATAAACAACATCACACTGGTTATCATAATCATTTATCCTCAACCCTGATGCCTTTTTACTTTTCCGAGCTGTCTTGATGGAAGCTGGTATCATCTTGGTTCGTGAGTGTCCATTAGAGGCTTTGTGTACAGATGGTGTGGGGCTGGGGGATAACCAACCATCTTTGGAATGATCAAACTGGCTCTTGTCACTGGGATGTGAATGGTAACCCACCTTATTTCTTCCTAGTGAGTGAAGATGGTTCTCTTGCTTTGGCCTTGCATCTTGTTCATTTGCCTCTAAATCTTGGTGCAGTGGTATTTTTGAGCTACACTGTAAAGCATTCTCTTTGTCAGCAGTTCTAGGTGAGTTCCCCATAAACCCTGAGTCCCATGTCTCTTCTGATAAAGCTCTGAATGAATTTCTTTGAGAAACAATACAGTCATTGCCCTCCTCGCTATTCTCAGCCACTTTTACTGCATTTAGACTTTCTACTAAAGCTGAACTCTGCATATGGTCTTTACCATCCTCACATGTTTTCACATTTGAGTCTCGCTCTTGTCCAGTGGTTTGCCCCTCCAAGCTTTTAGAAATGAAGTGGGAGTTCAATGAGGAAGAATTAGATGCAGTGAGGTATCCCAGAGTGGAACTATCTATCGAATTGCCAGAATCAGGATGAATGGCTGGAAGTTCAGAGGAATCTTGCTGGACAACAGTCAAGGCATTTTCTCTTCCATCTATACAGTTTGTCTCAGGAGGAGACTCCTTCAGTACCTGTTCTGTCATATGCAGAGAGCTTTGAGAGCCCAGTGAGTCTACTAACAAATCTATGGAAGTAGGAGACTTCCTATCGAGGCACATAGCATCATTTTCCTTATGTCTGCTGCTTAGCTGGGCACAGCCAGCATTGCAAGATGATGCATCCATTGTTCCAGAATCCAAAGGCTGCAGGTCCTCAGTGTCTGACTGAGATTCAGTGTACAGGTCACTCAGAACACGAATGAACTGCTTCTGATGATGAGTGCAGAGTCTGACCATAAACTTCTCCAGGGGGGACTTCGACTGATTGTTAGAATCTACTGCTAGCGTTTCTGTTGAGTTCTCACTAGACAGACAAAAAGAAAGAAGGAATTAGTATGGTCATTTCCTAAAGGACCAATTTCACATTTTAAAATTCACTAGATGTTAATTATATTGTAAAGAGAGTAGGCACTGTGGCCAAACCACTTCTAAATTAATCACATTAAAATAAATAAATAAATAAATAAATAAATAATAAATTCACCATATAACTTCTGATTCAATAAAAGAGTACCTAATTTAAAGGCAAGCTTAGTCTAAATTTTTGAAACAATATTCTTAATACTAAAATGATCATTCAGAAAAAAATTTTTATCTTATAGAGAAGAAATATTTAAAATAATTTTTCGTCAAAAATCCAATTCTAGCTACACTACTAACTCTACTTGGTCAATATAGCCAGGTTGAACATCTCCAAACTGAAAATTTCTAAAATAGGAAATTTTCTGAATGATGACATAATGGCACAAGTGGAAATTTCCATACCAGCAAACTTAATGTACAGAATTATTAAAAATATACAGCTGGACATGGTGATGTGCACACCTGAAATCCCAACACTCAGAAGTCTCAGGGAGGAGGATCATGAGTTTAAGGCCAGCCTGGGCAAACAGTCAGTTCAAGGCTGGCCTGGACTACACAGTGAGATCCTGTCTCAAAAACAAAAGAAAAAGAAACAAAAATAAAAAATACGATATAAGCTTATGTTTAGGATATGTGCATAAGGTGTACATGAAAAAAGTAATTCTGTGTTTAGACTTGGGTCCCACTTTCAAGATACTTTATTATTATATGCATATATTCCCATATCTGGAAAAAAATCTCAAAGCAAAAATACTTCTGGTCCTAAGCATTCTGGACAAGGGATACACAACGTGCACTTCTGCTTTGGGCCTAGGTATTCTTGTTAAATAATCTACAACACTGACATAAATTCAGCCACACTATACTATAAATCTTGACTTAGAAGTATTTAGAGAATTTAATAGGTTAACCACTTCACAGTTTATTCCAAGTACCCCTTAGGCAACAAGTTTATATACTATCCCTAGGTATGGCATATGTAGGTGTCATTTCGACCAGTTGATTCTTTTTTTTGTACTGAGGATTGAATTCAGGACCTTGCACTTGTGAAGCAGGTACAGTGCCACTGAGCTAAATACCCAGCCTCAAACAATTGATTCTTGTATTGAATAAATTTGATAATTTTATATTACCTTATACCTCTTTTATATTACCTCCTAAAAATTAACTAAAAAACATGCAATTTTTTTGTCATCCATATTTAAATAATTGGACTGCTAAGTGGTTAAGATGATTTCTCAGTAAAACCAATTGGCTTGACAACTGGTAAATGATGTGGGAATTTTTTATCCTTTTCTAGAGCATGCACCAATAGAAGTGAATAATTTCACACTTCAGGGATATTAAATAGATGAGGGACAAGCAAGTACCAACTAGCTAAGTGAGAAAACAGATATGAAATCACACTGTACACTACACAGTGAGACAATGCAAGGTACAATGCTGCTGCAAGTCAAATTAGCAAAAAACATCATACAAGTCCTACTTACCACATTCCCCAGATTTTCAATAAATACTTTACAATCATCCACAAGAAGTCATTCTACATTAAAGAACCTCTTTTGTTTTTTTGGTACTGGGGATTGAACTCAAGTCCCTAAAGGAAACAGAACCACTGAGCTAAATCCCCAGCCCAAAGAACCTAAAATAACTAAGACAAATTCTTACTGCTTGACCCAGGCAGTTTGAGGATGGGGGCAGGAAAAGATGATACTAGACTCAAGACATGCTACAGGCAATGCCTTAGGCAAGAGTTTTGAAAAGCTGCTTTGTACTTTCAAATGTCTGGATTTTACTAAGCCCAGGTAGTTGGAGTGCTCCACTACCCTCAAGTTTGACACAGCTACTCAATACCCTCTCTCTGGATTTAATTCCACATGAGACTATTACCTGAGTGTGAAACATGGCAAAAGGCAGCTTAATAAATGTGTTGAACAGATGTTTGATCTTATCTTCTAATTCTCTTCTTCCATCTTTGACTTTTACCTCCCAGTCCTGAACTGCTTCTCTACCTTCCCATCCTCCATTGGCAGTGTAGTTACAGACTAAGGAATAGGAGACACCTAGATTCTAGTTCTAGCTCTGACATTTACTATTTACAGGATCTCAAGCAAGTTATTTAACCTCTCTGAACCTTGGCTTCCTCATCTATAAATTGGACTGAATTATCAGTATCTCAAGGGACTTCTGTGAGATATTAGATAATACATGAAGTCTAAACCACAAAAGAGCAGGTGCTTGGACAATTTTAGTTTCTCTGTTCCTAACTCAAGGAGACTTTAAAGACCAAATGGTGAATAAATAACCTGAAGCTCATCTTAATAGAAACCAGACCAATCAACCAACCAAAGAACTAGCAATAAAGTAGTTTTATTCAGTGCCACTGGTTTCTGAAAGAGCCTAGGCTGAACCACAGACTGAGACACCAAAAATATTTTCGCAAATATCTACCTCAAATTCAGCACTAATCACTGAATTGTGATCAAGAAAAACATTATTACAGGCCTGGAGATTTAGCTCAGTGGTGGTGCTGCCTGCCTCGCAAGCACAAGGTGCTGAGTTTGATCCCCAGTACCAAAAAAAAAAACAAAAACACTTACACAAAAACAACAACAACAACAAAAAACCTCAAAACACACACACACGAACAAACAAAACATCATTACAGAAATATTACAAATATTCCACAGGAATGGTATATCCTAAAGTACAGGCCAGCAGTGGGGCCAAACCATACCAAGGAAGAAAAGACCAAAAGTAACTAGAAAATGTCACTGGCTTTCTTACGGTATGTGTACTTTTCTCTTTGTACACTGTACTTGAATAAAAAAATTTTTTGAATGCAACATCTGGAAAGTCAAAGGAATAAACTCTTGTTTTGCAAGAATGGGAAACACTTTCTTCTTGAAACAGGTAGGACACCAGTGATACTCCTGGATGAGAACAATTGTTTCCAACATCTGGATGCAACGAGATGTACAAGGGAGCTCAACAGGCTTCTACAGCTGCAGACTTTCAATCTCATGGAGGGATCAGGAGAAAGCTGTGTTGATAGACCCTTCTAAGAGGTACTTAGGGACTATTTGTCAGGTGGACGCAACAGCACAATGTGTATTACAGGGCACGGTACCTGTGAGACACTGGGGGATAGTACTGCCGCTTATTATTTGTGATACCTTGCCCCCAGTACTTGAACATTTTGGGTCTTAGTTGAATAACTGCCCCATTTGCCCATCAGGACTGATGCAAGAGAAAACCTACAAACATCAGTTACCAAATTAAACAAGCTTCAATAAAAATGAGCTGGAGGGGGGCCCAGGATTTAGCTCAGCGGTTCCACCACCTGCCTTGCAAGCACAAGGGCCTGAGTTCAATCCCCGGCACACCCCCGCAATAAATATATATGTTTAAAAAATAAGTTGGGGATCAACGATGTGCATCAATTCTTTCTTGCCTCCTAAAAAAGGCAAATTTTCTAGATAAATTTTATACTTCAAGTACAGTACTGAAAAATGAGCTGGGCATGGTGGCTCACACCTATAATCACTTGCAAGGCTGAGGCAGGAGGAGTACTGCCTGAAAGTTCAAGGCCAACTATAGAGTGAGACCTTATCTCTAAAAAACAAAACAAAACAAAACTGGAAACTGAGCCAAGGACTTTGCAAGTGCTAGGCAAATGCTCTACCACTGAGCTACATCTTCAGCCCTTTTTTTATTTTTTGAGACAGGGTCTCACTAAATTGGCCAGCCTGGCCTCAAGTTAGTGACCCTCTTACCTCAGCCTCCAAAGTAGCTGGGATTACAGGCATGTGCCATCATACCAAGCAAAATTTTAAAATATATCTGAAAGTTAAAATACATCTATAAAGTTCCATTATCTGTGAACATATTAATTTTTTTCTTAATCGTCAGGATCATTACTATGTGAGTGAATGCTGACGTTAGGTAATCATTTTTAGTGGACTGAACTCATATATTGATAGTTTGGGGGAGCTAGTCAAGTAAACTGACTCCCTAAATTTAAAAAAGCCACACTTAGTCATCTGTATTTTATCAAAAATTTTCTTATTGACTTCCAAATAACAGCTAATCTTAGCAGCCCTACTTTTCCCTTTAGCAGGGTGTACTTTCATTTACTAGCTTTGAAATCATTTCCAAGAGTTAGAATGGCACTTTAAGTGAAAAAGAATAGCTCTAAATGAGGACCTGAGGAATGGTTTTATGAGTACATGATTTTCTTTTTGCTTTTTCGGTACTGGGGTTCAAACTCCAGACCTTGAGTATATGATTTTTTAATGACAGCTTTACCTCCTCAGAAACCTTCATTCCTCAATTCCTGGTTCTTGTATATGTTCCTGTGTTTCTAAGAAAAGTGACTAAAGTAAAGGGAATAATACTGCCTTTTCAGTGAATTAAAAAATACATTCCAAGTATATTTTAGAAATACACAAAAAAGGGGGGAAAGGCTAATAAGATCACTGAAAAAGATTAACAAATATACCATTTTATTAAAGAAAAAAAGCTAAAAAGATCAATTTGTTTTTCCCTAAATTGGGAAGCACAGCCATTATCTAAGTCTTTGTAAAAATCATCTGGATTATACCCCATGCCAGTATCTATATTCTGAAAGCAGGTTTGGGTGCATGGAATTAACAATACCCCTGGAGGTAAATGAAATCAAGGCATGAACCTAATAAGAAGGCAGAACTCTCTGAAGGAAATTAAGGAAGCATTATGCTTGCATAGAATAAAAAACTGAATAATGACTAATCTACATGTTACATCCAACTCCTTTATGTCTGTGAGACTTAGATCTGCTGTTGTCCCATGCTTCGTAATACAACTATAGGTCAGTATTATGTATTTCATAGAATCTAGGAAGGGGAAGTATATTCTTGGCTAAAGCATAAGGAAATATTAGGACCCTAAAACTCTAACCTG